GCCCATTCCCATCCATTTTAGTTCACTGACACCCAGGATGTCAATGTTTCTTCTTGCCATCTCCTGTTTGATCACATCCAGCTTCCCAAGGTTCACAGATATTACATTCCAGGTACCTATGCCGTATTTTTCTTTGCACCATCAAACTTTCCTTTCACTTTCACTTCCAGGCACATTCACAGCTGAGCATCCTCTTTGCTTTGGCCCAATCACTTCATTAGCTCTGGAGCTACTTGTAGTTGTCTTCCACTCTTCCTCAGTAGCATGTTGGACGCCTTATGACCTGAGGGGCCCATCTTCCAGCATCCTATCTTTGTTAGCGACATGGTGTAGACCATCAATATTTGTCACTCATTACAGATTAGACCTTTGAGCCCAGAAAGATGTTGCATTTGGATGGGCTGTTATCTCCTCAGTTCTTGCGTAACTCCCACTTCAAATATAGCTTGCCAGTCATCCCTTTTGTGTGCATTACTCACCATAACGATGGTTCTTTGAGTGGTGATCTGTGTATCCATACATCCTGCCCACCTCACCTCTTGTTTCGTCCTTCTGCCTTGCACTGGACAGCTAGGAGAGCAGAGCCGTACTTGAATGGTGTAGGCAAAGAGGCATTTTCGTTTTTTAGGCTCTGGAACTTTCTAAAGTGGTATTTGCAGAGGCAAATGGTTTACTACTCAAAGAATCATAGTTGTGGTGAGTAACCATGTCTTCTGGTACCTAATGTTTTTCTTCATCAGCAGAGATTTAAAAGATATTCAAAATAAGAGAGCTGCTTTTGTAAAGTGCAGAGCATTTATCTAGGTCATTCTGAACAAAAGCCAGAACAAGGATAAATGTCAGCTATGAAGAGTTTCAGCTTTTCATTTTCCTAGAAGTCCGTAAAGATCTATAGGGCTCTTAGGACCGTGTTCAGGTGTCAGCATTTTGACCTGACACTTGTATGTGTATATGGAAAAGGTAGTATAAACCTTGGAGTGCCTTATCTTGTTGTGTAATCCATCAAGTGGATTCTCACTTGAGGTCTCAGTGAGCAGACAGGTAAAAGAAAGCGCTTTCCCAACATCATTTACAAGAAAAATGCAGTTGTTGTTTCTACAGTGATTTGAATATAAGCAAGTTCTCTGCCTGGACTGCAGTTTCTTTGCATTCAAAGCTGCTGACAAACACAGACTTTAATTCATTGTCATTTCAGGATGTTCTTTTAAATAGTGCTTCCCCAGAAAATGATAGTTAATCAACCCTGATACTGGAGTTCTCAGGATACATCAGAGCATCTGTATGTGTATTGGTGTATACAAACTGTGGGTTGGTGTGGACTTACAGCTTTTTAGTAATGTAAAAAATTGTATACATTTAGAATATTGCAACCCCTTTCAGTTTAGTTTGCTGGTAAATCGAAGATTTAGTCCATAAATAATCAGTGTAGGAATATTGCTAAGCACAATATTTATGTTGGTGTTTTGTGTTTGTTTGCCCAGACAGGGGGATCCTTTTATTCATGGAGAGGTAAGAGTCTCATCCTCCATGGTTTTAGTTATCATTTGTTTCTGTCAGATGTATTAGAAAAATTATTTTTCTAAGAAATGGACTAAGGGCTGCAGAATATTGAACAGGAGAAACAAGGAAACAGAACTTGTTATTGAAAGCCTTTGGGAAGCAAGATTGTCTTCTGTGGCAAAATTAATTAGCCCATTCAGCCCTTCAACTTCAGAATGGTTGGTGGATTATGGATTTCTCTTTGGAAAGAAAGTATATCCCTCTTTTAGTAAAATTTAAGAAAGGTGGTATTAACCTGAGAAGTAAGGTAAGAAAAATATTATACTCCTAATTCTGACTGGTTAAAGTGGAGGTGTTAAGGTGGAAGTGGAAGAACCCATAGTTGCCCCATCTCTCGGAAACAAACAGGATGTCTCCTTTTAGAAAGCTTATCCACGGAAAATATGAGAAGAAACGTGAGTAACATCAGTAACACTAAGTATTAATTTAAGTTGAAGGAAAGTTCAGATAAGTTACAATGATGAAAAGATAGTTAGGAAATCCTGAAGAGGTCACTGTCAATCTTCCTACTCCCTCCCATTGCAAAGACACCAATCTCCAGCGTAAGCAGAGTTGCACCCAGTATATGGGGATTCTGAGAAACTAGAATCTGGTTTCTCCCCAACTTGTGGCAGCTGTTTTGCTGCCGAATACCAGTGACAGAAGACTGAACTTGGCTCCTGGACTTATTAGAGTTGCCAGTCCCTGGTGTAGGGGCCATGACTATGCAGCAATAGAGTCATATTTATTTGAATAACTGAGCTAATCTTTGTACTTCTGAAAGTTCAGAGTTAAGTTTCATGCTAATTATTGGATAAGAGTGCTAATGTGAGGTAAAACGGATAAAATCAAATTCAGTACAATAATTTAGATAAGATACAGAAATTTAGGCATTTCAGTTAAAAAAAACAATAATGTGGGGCGGAACAACAGCAGTTTCAGCAGAAATTCAGAGTATCCGGTCTTTTCCATGTATTTCATTCTGTGGGATAGTCATACTTCTTCACTGTTCTTTTCTCCTATTATTATTTCTAGTCCATCTTTTTTCTTGCTCATCATCAAACACACAGGGTTAAAATATATGAATGCATGACTCCACAGAAGGAAGAGTTTAAGTAAAAACGCAACAATAGTGTATTTTTTGTCCAGAATCCAGTTGGTGATTTACCCATGCATAAGTGAAATTGTGTATGTTGCAAGCAGTGAACTGCCATTAATTAATGAGATGAAAGTCTTTTGAAGTGCTTTTAGTGAGCAATTAAAATGTTTCCTTTTGTGTTTTATTTGCAGATAGTGTACCATGCACTGCAGCTTATGTTTTTTACAGTTCTTGCTTTTTTAATTATGAGATTAAAGCTGTTTCTAACACCTCATATGTGCATTATGGCATCTCTGATATGTTCAAAACAAGTAAGTTACATTTTATTTTTCATACTACCTGATATAGTGGAAATACATTTACAATTAAAGCATCTCCATATGCCACCTAATTATTGTCTTTCATTATTTTGTTATGAAACTGAAATTGTTTGCTGTCATTATCACGTACTGGCAGAAATTCAGCAGTGTAATTTATGCTGCATAAAGCTGGTGATGTCATCAGCTATGATACTTTTTTCAGGAACTAAACCTTTTTGAATTGTCCCGCCCTCAATAGTCCTGAAATTCCATTAGGATCTGTTTCATTGGGAGGAAGCTGCTGGGGACTGCTGGACAGAGAGACATTTAATTTCCAAAAATCTTATGCATCTGATAACATTGTCAGCTTTATTCCTGGTAAATTACACTGATGGATTTCAGCCAATGAATATACAGAATGGCAAAAGGTCCCCCCAGTTTCATTCTGCATGTTCCTCTTGAAGATGATAGTAACTTTAATGCATGTTGTTAAATAGGGCTTAAAAGAGCAGATTGTTTTAGATTGCTGTTTATTAAAGCTTTTATTTTACAATGTTGTGATTGTTGGTGAAGATATGTCAAGTATTTTATATTTTAGTTTCAATTAATTATATTTTGTTTTCTAATTTTGTCCTATCTTTTTGAGGAGACTTTACTTCAAATGTTAATAGAAATATTTTAAGTAAATGTAAAAAATGCTGTCATCATTAGTGTACAGTGTACTAATTCTTTCATGTAATGTGATTAAACTTTCCAAAAATGAGTTGAAAAAGAAGCGTGAATGGTCCGTAAATGTAATGGCCTTTTCATTTCCTTGTGTAGCTGTTTGGATGGGTCTTCCACAAAATCCAGCCTGCAACATTTGTCATTGCAGTTTTAGCAATGATGTCATTTGAAGGAATAGCAAACATTCAAAAGGAATGGAAAGTTAAGGGAGAATTTAGCAACTTGCCTCAGGAGGAACTTTTATTGTGGATAACAGCAAATACCAAACAAGGTAAAAAGCTAAAACTGACCACCACTACCCATTTTGTGTTTTATGGAGCTTCAGACCAAAGGATCATGCTCTTGAACATTAAGTCCAACAGAGTTTTTGTAAATATGGTCTGCAAATTACTGTTTGAATACTAACAAATTTACTCTGTACATGAAACTCTAATATACATTTTGAGGAATGGGTTATTACTTCAAAATAACAAATAAGGATTTGTAGGAAGAATTTGAAAAATTAACGGAAGTAAATATAATTTTAAATTTGCCTCTAGAAATGAAATAGTACTTTTGAAATAGTTATCAGATAGTAGTTTTATGCATCTTAATGGGTACTGATTTTATAGTGTTTTTTTAAACAACTTTGTGTATTTTTAGAGTGCTGTTTCCATTTGTTCCAGTATTTTTAGATACTTTAAAAATATATTTCAGATGCAGTTTTTGCAGGTACAATGCCTATAATGGCAAGTGTAAAATTGTCTACCCTTCGACCAATTGTGAATCATCCTCATTATGAAGATGCAGGGTTACGGTAAGTCTCTTCATTCATATTTCAATTTAGCTATGTTGTAATATAGCTCTACACTGTGTCAACATTTTTATTGGCTGTTAATCTGATAGTCTTTGTTCAACATAGAAGTATATGCAACAAGGCTTCTAAATACTGTGAGAATCATCCACGCCATTGCCACTCTGAATTACACAAGTGGAGTTTTGCATAGTCTGGTGCTTCTTAGGGAATTTCTGAAGATTCCATCACAAGTACCATGTTTTATCTTATTGCTGTAGTCCTCCCTCCCTTCCCCTTTTATGATTTTGTGAGCAGTTGTGAGAATATGCAAGCAAAAAACTAACGTAACTTGTAGATAACAAATCCGGACGTTATGGCTATCTTGAATCAGTCAATTCCTTGAATGGAGGTCTTATGAGGCTTTTTTTTTAAAAAAAAAAAAACCTTTCTCTTCCATTTTAATGATTATGCAGTTGGCCTACATATTACCAAAGTCCATATTTTAAAAAAAATGGGACCTAGCAACTGGAAAATAGTATGAAAAGATCCAAAAGAAAGCAATACAAAGCTTGTTTATTCTTTGGGAGAGGAATTAAAGTTGACCGTTTGATGCTCACTTTAAATCACTTGGGGAATTCTAAATTGACTTGTTAATTGGTTTAACATGGCATTATGCTGTTGAGATGTATTGGTTTTTTAATTGCTTAAAACATAAACTTAGTGATTGATAGACTGGATGAGAGTGAATAAACTGATATTAATCCAGACAAGACAGAGGTGCTTCTGGTCACTTGATAGGCAGAGCAAGGAATCAGGATGCAGCCTGTGCTGGATGAGTTTACAATTCCTCTGTAAACACAGGTGCACAGCTTGGGGTTGCTCCTTGATTCATCTCTGAGCCTGGATGCCCAGTTTTTGTTGGTGGCCAAGAGTGCCTCTGCACAATTAAAACCAGTGCCCGAGCTGGGCCCATTCCTGGAGATGTCTGATTTGGCCATTATAACAAATGCCTTAGGTACATCCCGACTGGATTTCTGTAACACACACTGCCTATGAAAAGGGTCAGGAAACTTCAGTGGATCCAAAATTTGGCAACAAGATTATTGACTTGGGCTGGTCACAGGGTTCACATAACTCTCATTACAGCAGCTCCACTGGCTGACAGTTTGTTTCGGGGCAGAATTCAAAGTGCTGTATCTCCCTTTATGAGCTTGCTCAGGTGTTAAGATCACCAGGAGAGGCCTTTCCCTTGATCCCACCACCTTCACAGGAGTGGGCCTTCTCTGTTGCTGTTCCTAGACTTTGCAGCTCCCTGTCACAGAAGGCCCCATCTTTGTTGTCCTTCCACAAGAAGGCAAAGACCTTTCTCTTCAGGCAAGCTTTCCCTCACTGACTGGCTGCCTGATTGGTTTTTTTTTAATGGATTTTGTGCCTTACTGCTTTTAATGTATTTTTGGTGTTGCTTTTGTTTACTTTTTTTTTTAGGTTTAGTATAATATATGCTTACTGCTATAAGCTTTACAGTGGACCCTTTACTTATGGAATTAATCTGTATTGGAACGGTGGCTGCAGGTTGAAAAGTCTGTAGGTCAAGTCTCTATTGACCTACAATGCATTGAAAACTGATTGATGCTGTAAACGGCCATTTTTGTTCCATTTTGGTTTTTTCTGGTCTTTAGATCGATTCTCTGGCTGCAAGTCGAACCTAAATTTTGTGGCCAGAGAAGTCTGTAACTCGAAAAGTCTGTAAGTCAAGCCGTCTGTTAGTCGAGGGTCAACTGTAATATTGTCTTTTAACGATGTAAACTGCCTTGCATCCTTTTTAAGGAGGAGGGCAGAGTAAAAATAATTTTCATAAATAAATTTGTGCTCCTATGGGTGCTTTGCATTCAAGACTGCATTTATAAATGTTTATTCTTTGAGTTTGAGCTATTATTGTCTTTGTGTTTCATTTCCTTTGGTTCTCATCTTACTAATTGTCCGTATTCTCCAATGATATTAATAGACAAGTATAAGTACCCTTTCCATTAGAATATTCTGTGCCACTGATGAGGTACATAGTATATAAAAATGTATGCCAGAACAAATCAGCTGTTTCCAGGACACACAGTCTTTGTCACTTTGCTTCAGGGATTAAATAGATATTATTTCCATAAATTATTTTTCATGTTTGGTTGATATCTACTTGGTTTTCTCTTCTCCAAAGGGCAAGAACAAAAATAGTTTATTCCATGTATAGTCGAAAACCAGCAAAAGAGGTGAAAAGGAATTTAGTAAAGATGGGAGTGAATTACTACATTTTAGAAGATTCTTGGTGCCTCAGACGTACTGGGTGAGTAACCAGTGGGAGGTCTTGCAGACTGTCCTGAAATGATAAAGAGATGGAACGTTATCTGTACAAAGACAGGATAAGATACAGCATGTGTCCTCATTTTGGAGAGTCTCCTGCCAGTCCCCTCAGGAACATATCTTTATCACTTTTGAAACATTAAGAGTGTGTGCGCCTTTGAAATCCTAATAAGATATCTTAGTCTTAGATACTGACCAGAAACCTGTTAACAAATTACATAATCATTAATTCTTTAGTATAAGTTTTTGTGGAGAATAGCCACTAGTTAAGAAGTTGGGATTTGCATTGTCATGTGACCAGTAAGTGACACCAAATGCAAATACTGATTTCCTAATTCAGTTCGCCACTGACATTTATGTCAGCAGGCCTTAGATTCTGATTGTTCTATTTTTAATTTTTAATTCAAACTGATGGTAGATCTGTTTGAACATAATAAAATTGAAGTGTTGCTTTTGTGGCCACTCTTAAATACAAGATGATCTTATCTTTTTCTTTGCTGTTTACATCATGAATGTTAGTAAATCCAGTGTGCTCTCCAAATATTCTGTGCTGTTGCTGTGCTTCCTTGACTATATAACATTGGCTTTTGATTTTTAATAGATGCTGTAATATTTGTTAACCTTCAGTAAAAATTGACGACTTGATAAACCTGTGTTTTCATAGTAACATTATGAAGGCACATTTCAGCAGTACTGGGAGGCATTATTTCACTGGACAGAATCCTTTTTGTTTTACCGGTCATGTGGTGATCTATTGAGAGTGAAGTTTTTGTTTCTCACCTTTTCCACAAGTGGTTTGTCCCATGCAGATACTCTTCTGCATGGGAGAGTTCTGTGCTTTCCAAAGGCCAGTTTTTGTTCAGATGCAAGTTAGATATTGTGTGGCGTGCTGTGCACACAGGGCATTACACTCTGCATTTCCTTAACTAGGACAAGCTTTGTGAACAAAGTTTCATGCTGCAACTTAAATGTACCCTAGAATAAAATTCAAATTGCAGTGTGCAATATTCATGGCGGGAAAACATCTCATGCCTATCTCTCCTTGTAAAAAAAACCCTCTGGACAATCAGAACCTCTTGAACAATTTGGGTGGACCTGTTAAAGGGCTCTGTCATGGGGAGAAATCACTCAAATTGGACTTGGACTGGTTAATGAAAGGAGGGTTCGTTTGTTTTTTGTCCTCTTTTCCTTCAGCAGTATTTTTGTTGTTTAGTCGTTAAGTCATGTCCGACTCTTCATGATCACATGGACCAGAGCACGCCAGGCCCTCCTGTCTTCTACTGCCTCCTGGAGTTTTTTCATGTTGGTAGCTTTGATGACATTTTCCAACCATCTCATCCTTTGTCGTCCCCTTCTCCTCTTGCCTTCACACTTTCCCAGCATCAGGGTCTTTTCCATGGAGTCTTCTCTTTATGAATGGCCAAAGTATTGAAGCCTCAGCTTCAGGATCTGTCCTTCCAGTGAGCACTCAGGGTTGATTTTCTTCAGAGCTGAAGTACCCATCATAGCCTGTCACAAATTGTTTAAAGGCCCCCAGGCTCAGAAGCTTCAGGGGCAACGGATGTCACCTTTCTTAAGTAATATCCAAGCAATTGTGGAGGAAAATATTCCTCTTCATATATTCATCTCTTGTGTGATGGCGAGAGGAGAAATATCTTCATTGTCTCATCCCCTCTGATGCCTTCCTACCAATTTCCTTGCATTAGAGTGGGGAGAAGATCTGAAATGGGGAACCATCTTCATATGCAAGCTCCTGATATAATTTAGGTTGTTCAGTCATATGAAATTCTAATCATGTCAGCATCCTCTGTGCATATAGGAAGTATCCTGCACTAGATCTTCTGAAAGATATGAGACTAGTAGTGGACATGAGTGTCTGCTTTCTAGTGACCGGTGCCCAACTGAATGAAAGGCAGACCAGACAGATCCTCAGTCTCTTAAGGGTAATCAAAAGGGCAAGTACAAATGATCATACTGGGTCAGTACACAATGGAGATAGAAGCAAATGGTTCAATGGATCAGGCAAAATAATAGCTAACATACAAGCAATTATACCATAAACTACAGACCTGCTTGCATGTCAGTTCAAACAGGAAGTGTCCAGATTTATCCTGAGAAGATCAATTGAGGAGGAAATTGACAAGGCAAGAGAAGCAATTAGAGATACAGACTGGGTTGTTAACAGGGTGGCGAAGCAAGTAGACGTTCAACCCGCAGGGCAGAGTTGCCACTGTTCTGCTTATTACAGTGATGTTCTCTCTAGGAGGTATTTTACTCCCAAAAAGGCCTGCCTTGATGCAGATACTGCAGTGGGTTCCCTCATGCCTGGCTTATGGCTTTATTTGCTTTTGCTTTCTTTGGCTAGGAGGAGGCCCTATCTTCTCCTCAGACTTCAGACCCCCTGCATCTGCAATGTTTTCCTCAATTGCCTTGGAGGGTCCTGGCTGGTCATGAGCTACCTATTTCCCTGTGCCATTTTGTTCTAGATGCTCAGGATCCTCTGTGTGGAGGATTCCTCCAGTACAAGAATGACATGGTCGGGATCACCTAAAGCAGCCCTGTTCCTCCTTTCTGTGTTGCCCATCACATACTTATGAATGTCTGAAGAGGCATTTGTTTCACTTGTATAAAATAGTTTTCTTCTTGCTTTTCCCAACCAAATGCCATTCACTGATAGCATTTTTATGTATCTTTTAGGCCTGGCTGTAGCATGGCAGAAATTTGGGATCTAGAAGATACTATCAATGCTGGAAAAGTTCCATTATGCAACGTTATGAGCAGGAATTCCAGACCATACTTCAGAACAGTATTCAACAACAATGTATTCAAAGTATTAGAAGTTACTGCATAATGACAGTACAACATACTGATTAGAATACTGGACTTTTAAACATAAGAAAATGAAAATATTTTCAAATACAATAGGATCCCCATATCTGCAGGAATAGGATCCATGGTTTCACTTTCCAGTGGTTTATTACAGCCCTATATACATCATACAAGAATGCCCAATTGTGGCCTTTGTCCCACCTCCTTGTAAGTTTTATATATATATAGGGTTCATACATCCACAGTTATAGTTATCTATGGTAGATCATGGAACCAGTCCACTGTGGATACTGGGGTCCTGCTGTATGACTATTTTATTCTTGGGTCAGTTTTTTTAAAATTTGCTGTGCAAATGTTTCTGATCTAAACAAATATTGATCCAAAGCACATAAGGAAAACTGGCTATCTTTAAACCTTGAATAACTAGGAAATAACCAATGGTGATACAGGATTTTAAGATGCCATACATAGTCATAACATATTGTTAAATTCATATCCCCAGCATGCTTTTCATATCATGCTTTATAAATCTGTACAGTTTTGTGAAGAAGTTGAATAATTTCCACTATTGCGTTTATATGCAAGAGACTGTTAGTTTTATTGAAACTTTTTTAAAAGTGTCATTGATATTTTTAGGTCATTCTAGAGTAAATTGTAGTTTTTAGATCATTTTAGAACTTTTGTTCTATGTGGAGATTGTTCTGAACAACTTTGGCCTTATACACAAGAACATACAAAATACATATTCTGCCATTTTTCTTTGGGAGTTGCCAGAATCAGACTAGTGAAACTAGAGATGCTGACTCAGAAGCAGCACCCAGAGGAGGTGAGCAGAGAAACCAGAGTGCTGCCTCTGAGTGGGCGCCTGCTGGAGGAGGCAAGCCTGGGAACTGCAGAGCATCTGTTGGCCAACTGTCAGATCTGCACAAACTAGTGATTTTTGCCAATCTCTAACTGAAACTCATTTGCTGTAAGCCGTATTTTTGTGACTAACTATTGAAACGTTTGCTATCACAAGTTTTGCTAACAAATTTTGCACATATTAAACTTTAGCAAGGAGATTATTTCCCTTTGTGTAGTAATACAGAAGACATTTGTTCTCTTTGCAGAAGAAGTCTAAATTGATAGGACATAATACATTACACAATAAATAAAATATAACCAGTCAGCCAGGGTAAAACAAAATACCAGATAAACTTTTTGTGTGTGTGTAGCTTCAGTACACATCTTCAGATAAAGTTACCATTTGACAGGGAAATCAGCAACATGACAAACATTAATACAACAGTATTCTTTTGTCAAATTTTTATAGAAGTGTAATTTGATTTCTGCCATGAGTAAGATTCTGGTGATGATGCACACATTTCGGATTGGTAGTCCAGATTTGTTGAGTGGAGGAAGAAGATATGCTGCAGAAACAACTATATGCTTTTGAACTGCCAAAAAAAAAAACACCTTGCAAGTCATTTAATTCGCAGCCATCTGGAAAAAAATTTCAATCACTGGTTGAATTTACTTTCTGTATTGCAAATCACAGCTTTTATTTTCCAGTTGCCAGTAGCAATGTTTTGAACGTACAGTCATGTAGCAGAAGCGTGAGGCAGCACAGCCTAAGAAAGGAGAACCTGGAAGTTGAAAACCTGTTTTCATTAAGATGCAGTTGGAGCCCATTTTCCATCACTTCTGATCATTGACCATGCTGGTGCAGGATGATGGAAGTTTTAATCCAATATCTAGAGAGCCTCCACTAAATAGTTCTAATTTGAAAAACTTGTATGTTTTAAATTTATTAGACTGGACCACTAATGAAGGATTGGGCAGTGAAAAATAACTTTTAAGAAGTAGGAAATAAGAGTCATTATTTTGTAATTAAATATATAATACAATGCAAAAATATTGTATTTTTATGAATTTTGTGCAAATTGTTGATGTTCATTGTTAATAAAAGCTTTGTTCATATTTGTGCTTCCATCTAACCATCTTTTTGCAGCAAATATTTAGAGACTGAAAGACTGTTCCAGAAGTTAATGCTGCGTAGTCACTTGTTCCAAAATAAATTACTTGATTTACAACTCATGAAGGTCTTGAGGTTCCTGTGCAATCCCTTTCATTCTCTGGAAGCCATTGGGAGCCATGGAGCTTGAGGGGGTAGTCTTTAATTACCAACAAAAGCTGCCTCAGGAATGACTTTACTGGTGGTGGTGGCAGCAGTTTTCACTAATTAATGATTCCCACACCCGCACCGCACCCCCGGCATGCAGCTCCCAATGGCTTCTTGACAACAAAAGGATTCCATGGGAGCCTCTGGACTTTTGTGTGGAGGGCTTGGAAGTGTTTTATTTTAAAAAATCATTGTAATGTTATAGAACAGGACTTCAGCCAGAAAATGTTATTTATCTACCCTTGCCCCACCTACTACTGAGTTGTAAATATTTTCCATTAAATATGTTTGCAGTAATTACAAGGTAATATCACAATACAGCCGGTAAGGCCTTTCAGGAGGCATGTTGGACCATCTTGTTTATTATTATTATTATTACAATTTTTTTATGCTAAAGACATAAGAAAGAGCACCACAGAAAGAGAGCTGGACAGAACACACAGGAGACATGGAAGTGCAGTGATAATAATAAAAAGATCTATGCATAAAGTTTTGTAAAAAGCTTCTAAAAATCTTAAGATTTGTCCTTGTGAAGTTACAGTTTGTATCCTATATATTTCTATGTTAATAGAGATGCAAGATGTTCCATTAATTAAATGACAGGAGGTTAGTATGTGTCTTTTAAGTGTGACTTTTGGGGGTTGGGGTGGGCATTTTTGATGCATCCTTGACCTGTTTTAAGTGCACAGTGACTCTTATTTATCTTACTCCTGCTCAAGATAAAAAGCACCCTCCTGGCACAGATAGTAGTAGACATGTTAGCGTACAGACTACATGTTGTGTTAGCTTGATTGTAATAGCTCTGCTTCAGTTCAATCTGTGACTGCTGTTAAGCTTACTAATGTTGGTGATTTTAGTTGGCCAAAGGGTATAGACAATGTGCTATAAGCAGAAATTGGCATTCCATGGCATTCCATGTAGGAAATAAAGACTGAAACTTTGTTGCTTAGTGTAGTAATTTGCAACTAGAGTGGACCTATTGAATCAGAGGAACTTATGCAGGAATTGACTCACCAAATCACCAGTGAGTCAGTGGACCTACTCTAGTTGTGACTTACTACACTAAGCATCAGGATTCCAATCAGAGAGTGGGCCTATTGAATCAGAGGAACTTATGCAGGAATTGACTCACCAAATCACCAGTGAGTCAGTGGACCTACTCTAGTTGTGACTTACTACACTAAGCATCAGGATTCCAATCAGAGACTCCCTTTCCTACAACTAATGGTAGTATCATGGTGCAGGAGTACAGATGTTTGCAAATAACGACTCTTCAGAACACCATCAAACAAAGAATTACATACCATTCTGCCTGAACTATCAGACTGAATCTGTGGAAAAAAACATGTATGTTCTGAGCAAACTACAGGATAGGTTTCTTCTCAATAGCAAGCATTTTTTAATCATATTGGAAACTTGTATTTTCAAAAGGTAAAATAATTTTCCAAAATAAAAGTTCACGCGATTATGATTAACTAGACATTTTCTACTGAGAGCAATTGTACCCACCACCTTGAGTGAAAACTGGTTCCATCTGAATAAAAAAGTAGTTTGAAGCATCACTTCAGTTAAGCTTTCTTGGGCGCTTCAGTGACGTGGATGAAATGTAGTTGAAACACAAAAGTTGACCAGTATTATACAAGACATTAAGGGAAAGCCACAAGTCTAACAGAGCAAGAAGCAGGTGCTCATGCAGCTAACAAATTTCTGTTTTGCTTTTCTTTTTTTTAGCAAGTGTCCTACTAAGCTTCCACTGATTGAAAAGTTCCACCAGTGCTGTATCGGGACAGGTATTGTTATTGCGCAAGGGGACAATAAGTTTTCTTCTGGATATCACTGCTTGCTAGATAGATTGTATAAGATCATCTCTCCTTGTATGTAGGAGTTGCGTTATAGTAGTAGCTGCAGAATGTTTCTAAAAACTAAACTAAAACTAACTTATTTGGGGCAATTTAAAAACTGGACAGTCTTTCACCTGGGAATGCACCTCAGAATGCACAGGTATTTTTCTTTCATTCTTAAGTTTCAACTCACACTTCCTCCAAAGAGGCCAAGGTGGCATACTTAGTTCTGTCCCGTTTTATCTACTTCCCTATGAGGTAGGATGGACTAGGGCTAAAGTAAACGATGTAACAGTCAGAAGATTTGAGTTAATAGTTACATTTTTGAAAGATTAAAAAAAATAGTATAAGGGAAGCTGAAGAGGATTGGGAGTCAGTATGCAGGAAAAGAGTTTTAACATTTCTTACCACTATGTTCTTCAATTTTTGTGTTCATCCAGAGAAATACATCTCTTTAATAAAATGCAGTTTCTGAACCTTTCAGAATAAACATGCCTACTTTGGCTCTGAGAGACTATGCTGGCACAAGATCAAACAATTAACTTCCTAACTGAATGGGTTTTGAACCGTAGTTAGGCATCCTTCAGTCTCGAAAGACTATGGTAATGTGCTCTGTATGAAGGACTTGGAGCAGCGTCTAGTGTGGCTGAGGAGGCCAATTCGAGAGTGACAATCCCTTCCACACTGAAGACAAATCCAATCTGTCCTCTGTCCAGCTCCCTGATTTTGCTGCTTTTGTGTTTTCCTCTTTGCCTTGGCCTGCTGGACAAGGGTCTCGTCAGGGTTTCGCATCTGTTGAGGTCCATTCCTAAGGCCTTCAGATCCCACTTGCAGATGTCCTTGTATCGCAGCTGTGGTCTCCCTCTGGGGCGATTTCCCTGCACTAATTCCCCATACAGGAGATCCTTTGGAATCCGACCGTCAGCCATTCTCACGGTGTGCCCAAGCCAACACAGACATCGCTGTTTCAGTAATGTATATATGCTAAAAATTCCAGCTCATTCTAGGACTACTCTATTTGGAACTTTGTCCTGCCAGGTGATACCAAAAATCCATCAGAGGCAACGCATATGGAAGCTGTTCAGCTTCCTCGCCTGCTGTGTTCAAAGGGTCCAGGACTCACTGCAGTACAGGAGTGTGCTCAGGACA